TTTTACACAAAAATACGGAGGAGAGCAGTCATTTACGTTTACATTTTTTAACTCACAAAATCCCAGTAGTGTCAGTTTGCAAGTAGAATAAAGATAATTATAAAAATAAAGAGAAAAAGAATATTAAAAGAAAATGGTATCAGACGGGTGCCAAGGTTGATTTCAGTGCTGGAGCTGTACGCATCTACAGTGTCATTCAGTTCACATAGAGAAACTTTCTTACAGTTACAACTTCAGTTACATGTGCTTATCCAATTATATATTTTTGCAGTCTTTCGATGATGGTGCTTCTGTACTAACAAAGTGTTCAGTAGAAAGACTAAAAACTATCCTCAACCCAGATGAAACCAGAACAAACAGCTGATCCTCAACAGCTACAAGAATGCCATTCATCAGTTTTGTAATGAAGGCAAAAGTGACCACAAGATCATGATTGTCACCTTCGAGAAGGAGTCCAGTGATCTGTCTGGCTTGATTTTGCTCAAAGAAACAGAGTTACAAAGCCAGAATGACAACTACAAGCCAGAAAATGATATGGGAGGTCAGCTATTGTGTTAGAAGAGTTGATAAGACTTCCTTGTGTCTAGGGGACATTCTTCTTTCCTGTGCAATAGAAGAGGTTAGAAATAGAGCAGAGCCTGATACCCACAGAGCTAGTACCTTCATCTGGCTTGTTTTAGCAGGAGGATTCTCCAATTTACCTGCTCTGCGTGTGTATCTTTTGCATGGGTTTGAGGTCATTGGTTTTCACAAAGTCGAAAATGAGGTCTTAATGGCTGTATGCAATGTTGGTGATGATAACACAAGAAGGGCTTTAAAGCAAGTTACGGGCAAATTGAAAAGCACTTTCCTCCTACCTGTCCTGAAGAAKGCTGCCACTATACAGGCACAGATAACATGTATGGCACCAACATGTATGGCACCAAATGTATGGCACCAAATGTAAATGTATGGCACCAAATGTACTTACGTTCACTTGTGGACGGCAACACTCCAATTCTGAAGTCCTCGACAACAGCAGGATGGCAACACGTGTTGTGCAGACATGCGCAATACAGTCTTCACGTGTTAAATTACTTCCAGTCAGCTGTCCTCTAAACCAACTGTCCAGGTATCTTAAAGTCCCTATTATGGCTGGTAGTTTTCTTCCTGTTGGAAGGGGTCTGTGGGTTGTTAAAGACAATAATTCACGAAAGATCATTGAGTACAAAATTTTAATAAGAACACTTAAAAGGAAAAGTACAAAATTCTCAAAAGATAACTGAACAAAATTAATTCAATAGCAACAGGTCAAAGTGTTTTACAAGTCCTGAGAGATAATGAAAAAATTAATTCAATAGAGACACGTAAAGGAAACTCTCTTGTAATCGATGAAACCGTTACGCACACTATAACATGGGCTGTAACTTTTGTCCGGCTGTAATCTACTGTTCAAATGGCTAATGGAACGGTGGATACACCATCTGGGAGTATTTTTCTTTTTGGGGTAAAAATAACTAAAGCCAGTGCAATGCTGGGCATAGGTCAAGACTTTGTTGCCCACCACCCAAAAGCCTCTGCTCTCGCCGGATTGACTTCTGTGTCTGCAATACATTCAGGTAAACCTCTTTCTGGGGGTTGTTCAGATGGCTTTGTTGCTCTCCCTGCCCTAACAGCAGCAGGTCTTACTACTGAGGCCCACAAAACCATCTCCTTTCCATTCCACTTTGAAGAGGCCAGGTTTGCACTTATTGT